ATGACTTGGAAAGTTTAAATTTAGAGTAAACAAAGCATTAGGAGGCTTATACCCCAGGGAGCAGTCCTGCCTCATCAGGGAGACAGGCTGCACTGGCCACCTCTGCCTCCAGTGCCTCTCCTTCTGCAGGACATAATCACACTGCTCTGATGAGCTGTTTCAGTCAAGCCAAAGATTTCAAAGACAGGACAATTTAGAGATTATCTATGACCTCTGCATACAACAGTTCTACTTGCAAATAATTAGCTGGGGGAACTGCTTGCCAGAGAGTTCTATTTCAGCCTGGACAAGATTCACAAAAGAAGCTGCACTAGTTCTGTGATTTTTAAGAGCAACTTTGGCACTGCAGTAATCTCTTCTGGACCTTGAGGTCACTGTTCACCACCCTCCTGCAAAGTAATTATTACAGTCTGACAAAGAGTTGCCTGAACTGCTCTTTGATTCATTGATATTTCTGAGATTGAAATTTTCCTTGTTCAAACAGTCTATCAGCTGTGGAGATCCCGTATGCCATATGACAAACAGCGGGTTCTTCTCCCAGTGGTACTGATGACCATTATTATTCCTTTCTGTCAATCTCCTCCCCCTTTGCCCCTGATCATCATTATTTTACAGACATTCAGAGCTGTGAGAAATGACCCTTTCTTATTTCTGTTGAGGCCACTTATGGCTGTGACATCAGTGGGACCATGCAATATCCCGTGACTGGGCACGTAGGGAGCCCTTGTCCTCAACCTGCCAAGAAAGCTAGAGCAGCTGGGATTGTTTCCTTCTACTTTGTATTTTACTCTCAATCCATAATAATTGGAGAAAATTAAAGCCTCTTTGGAAACAGTAACATCCAAACACATCTTCCAGCATGCAAGGAATCTACTGCCTTTTGTAGGGCTGTGGGAGTGACAGCGGGAGATGGTGGCAGCAAAGGTGTCCTGTATCTCATCTAAAGGAGAAAAGGAAATACCACATCAGCAGCACCACTGATTCTTGTCACCAAGGACTGGTTGTCCTGGAGAGTGTTGAAAGAGACCCAGGGCACAGGCCACGTCCACACTCCCTCCCTAGATTAGCAATTTTGGGAGGAGAGGAGAGGCAGGACTTGGCTCCAGAGCACTTTCCAAACACAACTCCTCTTGGGGAAACAAATCACTCAGTAAAACATTGACCTCAGAAGTGCAATTTTCAGTACCTGTGTGTATGAAGACCAATTAGCCTACAGCATCTTTGATAAATTTCTGGGGAGCAGAAACACAACAGATTAAGCACCTCTCCCAGGGCTTTCTGTTTTCCTTCCAAATAAGCTGTCACTTGATTTTCTGTCAGTTTACCAGAATGAGAATATTGCAGGTAATCTGGTAATAAGCAATAATTTTAGGCAAATCATTAGACATTCTTCCATGCAGACCTTGAGTGATTTATTGTTGAAACCAAGTGGCATCAGGAATACTGATCCAAAATTCAGCCTTCCAGTGCATCAAAAGGCCTTACAAGTGGGCTGGAAAGGGATATTTTTCAGGGGGAAATGACCTAAAGGGCAAGTTTAGATTAGATGTTAGGAAGAAATTCTTTACTGTGAGGGTGGTGAAATCCTGGCATAGGTTACCCAGAGAAGCTGTGGATGCCCAACGCTTAGTACTCTGGATTTAATTTCCTGGGTGAGAGATAAACAGAGTTTGGTCCTGGCACCTGCTCTTCCTGATATACAAGCAAGAAAAGAGGTGGTTGAGTCACCATATAGCTCCTCCTCACAGATTTCATCTGCCAAGGCAGGACAGTTTGCACTGCAGGAGTTCCTTTTACCAGAGATACCAAGGCTCCAGATATTCCTCTTCCCTGTCCCCAGTCCATCCCTCTCAGGCTGGGACTAAGACATCTCTTTCTATTACTTCACAGTCAGGAATACCCTCTGCAGGGCTCCCCAAGGAAAGTATTGAAGAGCCAATACCAGACCAGACTGTTAATTACCAGCATTAGTGCCCCAAATTAGCTTCTGTTGTTAAAGGATGAGTGAGAATTTTCTATACTTCCATCTTCAAAATATCTCAAAGGTCCAGAGGAGGCCACGAAGATGCTCAGAGGGCTGGAGAACCTCTGCTGTGAAGACAGGCTGGGAGAGTTGGGGCTGTTCAGCTGGACAGAGAGAAGGGTCCAGGGAGATCTTAGAGCCCCTTCCACTACTTAAAAGAACTTCCATAGAGCTGGAGAGGGACTACAAGGTCATGTGGTGATAGGACAAGGGGGAAGGGCTTTAAACTGAAAGAGGGCAGGTTTAGATTAGATATTAGAAATAAATTCGTTATTCAGGGGCAGTGAGGCACTGGAACAGGTTGCCCAGCCATGGATGCCTGTCACTGGGAGTAGTTCAAGTCCAGGTTGGATGGGGCTTTGAGCAATCTGGTCTAGTGGAAGGTGTGTCTGCCCACAGCAGGGGGTTACAAACAAGGTGATCTTTAAGGTCCTTTCCAACCAAAACCATTCTATGGTTCTGTGATGATTCTGTGAATGCCCAAATTCTTTGTGCATTTGCAAATCTCCCACTGAATCTGACATTATGATGTTAGAGTAAGAGAAATGTGTAGTTTGGGGTCACTACCTTAATGTCTTGGACACGCTCTCCCAGGTGGTCTGTATTTCATTTCAAACAAAAACAAGTGACTAAAGTAAGGAATCCTGGCAGCCAACCACAGAAAAGTGGATTAGTAGTGGTTGTCTCAGAGTAATCAACTCTTTCTTTTTCCTTTTTAACATAGAAACAATATCTGAACTGGACATTTACAGTTGAAAGAGCTTCTAAATGAGAATTTACTGTTACTCACAGCTAGTGTTTGCAGGGAACAGCATAAATAAATGCCCCTTACACTCCCTCCAGGTCACTCCCCAGAGAAGCAGCAAATTTATACTGTCATGGGTTTGATTAGACACAGTGTTTTTATATACTTAGTTTTGAAAGGTTGGGTTTGGCTGCCTTTTTCAATTACTGACTAACAGAATACACACACAATTGATCCTGCCTGTAGCAGCCATATATCTGAGTTGCAAAACCACAAAAATATACACAATTTCCTTGTCTACAGCTTTCCAGTTTTCCTACACACATGCATTTCCTACCAGCAAGCTGCAGGCAGTTTGCCATTCAGCTTGTGGAGTTCCTGGTTTACCCTTCAGAGAGGCCTCACCCCCCACTCAGGACTGAGAAAGAAGATGAGATTTGTCTCTGGCATTTGAAATCACCCTACCCTGTGCAAGCACAGCACGTTGAGGGATCAAAGCCACAGCTGGGGCCACTCTAAAGAGATTCAAGAACTCACCCAAGGTCCCCCAATAAATCTGTGACAGAACAGAGAATATTAGCTACTTTTTCAGCACCACTTCATCACCAAAATAAGTTAATAACACTGTTTGGTCTCAGTCATGTAACAGTTGTACTGTACAAGGGATCTGCTGCAAGCCTACCTACAGGGAACACAATTCTTACTCAGATAAATAGGGAGCAGGAACTGCAAGCAACATAAGTGCTGGAAGTAAAGCTAATGGGTAACAGCTCTAAGGACATAAAGAGCCAAGCCAGGTAGGTAAGGATTTCTTTTAAATCCTTCCTACTCATAAAACCATGGCATGGAAAGCCTAGGGAAATATCTTCCCTGTTCTCAAGTTCTTCCAGATGCCTTAAGTGGGCCACTCTCCCACAAGGGTTGAGGCGATGCTCAAAGCCATCAATCACCCTGGTAAACAAAATGTTGCAAGTAAATTTTTCAGTAAATCAATAAAAGAAAGAAGGGCAGGCTAGCCTCTGCCAAAGTTTTCAGTCCGTGTTCTCCCATCCCAAACAACACAACTGCCTTGTGTCTGTTGTATAATGGACTTTTGATACAGTATCTGGGAAATCTGATAAAGCACCATGTTCTCCCACACTACAGCTCAGTCATTTGCTGTGCAGTGCAAGTGACAGGAAGGTAAATACAAATCTGTCACCTTAAGGGTTACACCACAGCCAACCTTGTACAAATTCTTGAGAACTTACCAGTGACGTTTGGAAGCCAAAGCACTCACAGTGCTGTAAATGTCTCTTCGAAACCCTGGATGCAGGAGTGAGAAGTGATGTGGGAAAGTCTGGCCTTTAGCCAGATTATAAAAGAAATTATTCACTGGCCCTGTAGGTTCATTAATCTAGTCTACTATAAATTTTTATTACGCGTTATTATTGATTCATAGCCATAAACACAATGGATGCTTGAGATCTTTGCCCAAAAATTTTCACAGTCCCAAATCCCGCACTTGGAAAGACTTGTGCTTACTTCAACACCCATGAGCAGACCCCATTCAACTCAACAACATCAGCCAACTCATGTTTCTAATTTTAGTTGTTCCTACTGACAGTTGAGTAACATTGGCACCTTCCAAATAATCCTTTGATTTCCTGACGTCACATGTGCTCTTGGGAGGATACATGGAGACAACATTCCCTACACAAATGGTCAGAGCTGATTAACTACGAGGGGATGTTACAAGCTTAAGTGATGTATGATCACTTACAGTGGTCTAAGAGCCAGATGAGTCACATGAAGTAAAGCCAAGGATTCTCTCTGGGTTTCAAGTTACCAAAGCAAAAGCCTCTTGAAATAGGATCTGAAGCAAAAAGAATGCCACAGCAATTTCTGAATGTGTTGAAAAATCTAGTTATTGGGACGGAAACCTATAAAAATAATAATCTTTAAACTCAGTAAAACATGATGTAGTCTTGCAGTGTAATGCTTTTTCAGCCACATTCCTGAACTGTTACTGAGTAGATATGCAGGAAAACTAAGAAATTCATCAGCAAAATCTAATTCAGTCCTGTCTAAACTACAAAGATGAATTATCCACTAAGCAGTGTGAGATGTCAGAGCTCCTGTGCTGGGCAGCCCTGCTTAACCCAGGGCAGTGTAGCACCAGCACAGAGAGCTGCTGCTTGGCCAAGGAAAGACCAAGTCTGAAATGAACAGATGCATCTTAATATGCAATACCTGAAGGGAAGTGCCAACTGAACAGGCAACATCTTCTTTAATTAAAGTTGCGTAGGAGTGGGGATAGCGAGAAGGACACATCTGATGGCTGGGTACAATTCGGCCATAAAAAGAAGACTGGATGCTGATGGTGGTTCTGTGAGGACATCTCAGGGAGACATATTCTCCATCACAGGCATGGTCAGTGTAGTTCCTTAGTACCTGTGATATGTAACCTGCAAAAACCATGACAAAAAAACATCATTAGTGAAAGGTAGTTAATACTGAGGTGATTTACAGCAATGCAGTCTAACAAAGATAAAACTACCAGGCAATGAGGGACACAGATTTTATTACTCACCTCACATACATGCAAAGAAGAGACACAGTGACAGGGAGATTAGGGAGCCTTGATGATTTGACCTTCAACCATGATACAGTTCCTTATTGGAAGCAATATTTGGATACTCCAAACTCTTAGTCCCATCATACAACTTATTTACAATGTCACAATATAAGAGGACAGTTTCAGAGCACATATATGGAGCAGCATCCTCACTGTGAGGGCAGTCAAGCAGTGGAGCAGGTTGCTCAGAGAAGCTGTGCAATCTACACTCTTGAGGGTTTTCAGGATCTTACTGGATAAAGCCCTGAGTAACCTGGTTTGACATTCTAGAGCAGGAGATTAAACTAGAGAACTGAAATCCCTTCCAACCTCACTTTTCCCATAAAATTAAGATCATGGGCAAGAAAGGCCCAGATCCAGAGCCACATTCCATCCTGGCACACCAGTCACATCTTTGATCTCCTTTCACAATATACCACTTAAATTCTTCTGGCTGCACCTTCTGTTCTAGGCCTTTGACACTAAAGCTTTGCTTTCTCTCCAGTTTTGCAAAGTTTCAATCTTTTTAGAAGGAACACAGTATGCGGAACTAAATCTCTCCTTGTTTCTTAGAGGATTATGTTATCCACAGTAATAAAGCTGTTGACAAGAATAAAGCAGGGGGAACAAAGTCTCCTTAAAATTACACTTGAGACAGAAGGGCTGATTGCTGTCAGGTTGCCCTGAAACTCCCAAACAAGTCTGACTTTGCCACACTCAGGCACGGGGGAAAGCAATGTGTTGCTGATCTGGAGATATCTGTGGAGGGAACACAACAGTGTGCCCAATGTCAGTGTCAGCCACAGTCCCACTCAACCCCACAGTTCTCTCTGCAATTGGTTTGGAAGTCCCCTTCCCACCACTGGCCACCAACACAAGCCTATCAGCAGCCACTCCACAATGCCCTGTCCCTGTCTTGCTCTTCCTCTGTAGATGATATGACAAATAATGAGAAACTAAAGGTTTGTCTGTTCATCTAAAAGAAATAAGGAATAAAAAGATTAATCACTGTTTTACATTAACTAAAGATCTAGAGGAAATGGAACCTTATAGAGGAAGACAGAGACATGGCATTGTGGGATGGTTGCTGGTAGACTCTTTTCCTAAGAGGCAGAGTGCAGAGAAAAGGCAAAACCATTACGAGAAGCAATTAATCCCTGGACAAATTCCTATAAGGAACCTGAGACTGTTTTTTTTGTGGGTTTTTTTAAATTATGACTATTCTTTTGGTGGCCCATAATCACAGAATAACTCAGGTTGGTACCTCTGCTAAGTCATGTAGTCCAGCCTTCTGTTCAAAGCAGGGCCAACTTAGTCAACGTTTCCCAAGGCCTTGTCCAGTTCTAAACATACCCAAGAGTAGGGCCTCTACAACCTCTCTGAGCAAACTGTGCCAATGCTTAACAACTTCCACAGTGAAAAATTTTTTTCATTCCATGCAACTGGAATTTCCATGCTATGACTTTTTTTGTTGTTGTTCTCTCTGTTCTTTCCCTGGTGCATTTTTGTACCCTTTAGTACCTTTCAGGGAGAAGACTGGTTCCATTTCATCTATACAACAGTAATTAGATCCCACTCTCCTTATTCTTTACTTCTAGATAAACAGACCAGCTCCCTCATTTTGCCATTGTTTATCACATGTTCCAGTGTCCTTGCCTTCCTGGCAGCCAAAGACACTCTCTCCAGACTCTCAACATCTTGGCTACACCGAGGACCCAGCATGGTATGAGTTACTGTTCATTCCTGCTTCCTCACACTCACCATCCTGCCTTCCAAGACATTTGAGTGATTCATGTGGCTTGCTGAGAATCATTCCCAAATCAGCTCTAGCTATCCTTGTAGACACACCTGTAGGGTATATTCTCACTAAGTTAAACTCTCCTGGTATTTCTTCTCTGTCTCTAAAACCATATCCAACAACTTCCTCTTACTCTTCAAAATAGTATGACCTATATCCAGAGCTTTTACTGGCAGTAGCTTTACTTCCATACCAACACTGAAAGCTAGCTCAGGAGTTCTGTGAGACAACACTTGTCTGAGCAAATTTCAAGGTGTCTAAAACAAGTATAATCACTGTTCTTAGAGATAGATAACCAACATACGGTAATTTAGCTTCAGCACCCAAGCTACCACTGTGAGGGCTGGGTTCTCTGATTTCTCTAAATTTTAGCCTGTAGTTCTTATTTAGCAGTTCTGTTGCTGCAGCACCTCGAGGTCTGTGCCAAATAAATATTTACTAAAATCAGCATATTAAATTCCAAGTCCTCAGGGCAGCATTTGCTCATAAGGAAAAGGCTGAGACACAGCCCAAATAATTAGAGTAAGTGACAGGACTGCATCAGATCAGGAAAGAGCACTATTTAATTTAGTACCTTTATCTCACTTGTCCAAGGAAGCACTGTGGGATAAAATGAACTACTGGGGTGGATCTCCTTTCCCAGTCAGTAGAATACATGCTCTGTGGGATGCTGCACACCTAGTCCTGAACTTAGATCAGCTCTTCTCCCTCAAAAGTAAGGCAACTATACAAGATGGGCATCAGGAAAAGCAAACTACAGATTTAGAATATAACACAAAACAATAAAACCCACTTTCCACGCTGTTACTTCAGCAGCGCATTAGGACTTTTCCCTGAGGCTGACCTATTAGGGAGCCAAAGAAATACAAACAAAGTGCAGTCAAGACTCTACTGGCTCCTTTGAATATTCAATTACTCTGTCAGAACAACCATCCTAGGGCATGCCTTTCATATTGCCAAGTCAGAATCAGAGAAGGTTCCAACCCCTGCAATTAATGCACATCACTTGCTGAAACAGCTCCTTCCTTTCGTCTTCCATCAGCAATCTCAAAATAACTTGAGTTCGGTCAAGCTCAAGATATTGAAGGGATTGAATGCTTTGATGGTGACTAATAATAAACAAAGCACAATGTCTGAAACATCTGGCACTGACCACTGTCAGAGAGAAGATACTGGATTAGACATGGGCATGGTCAGAGAGGAGATGATGGAGCAGAAGGAAGTGGCTATAGAGAATTAATGCTTTTTTTGTTTCCCTATCTGTGCCAGATTTGTACTGTACCATTGGTAGTTCTTTTGAATGCATTGGCATTTCATTACCCACTGATTCACAGTTCAGTAACCTAAAATCCAAATTATTTTCAGGACCCTTGTTGAATTTTCGGTAATAAGTCTCCAAGTGACCTTTTGTACCATTACATGCAGTACCAGGGGAGGAATTACTGGGATGCTCTTTGGTGAATGAAATGCATAAACATGTAGCCATGGCAGGTGCTTGAGGACTTTAATGGCCCTTGTACACCAGGGCAAGAAGCACTCCCTAAGTACACAAGGAAGAGCTTACAAAGCTCTTTGACTCTTTCCTGGTAAGCATGAAAAAGTCTCTTGGATGGCTGCAAGAACTTAGTTGAGTTTAGTAAAATGATACAGCAGATCATCAGTAGCTACTTATAGGCCACAGAATACGTCAGTCAAGAAACTGAGATGATAAAGGTGTTATCAAATGACGTCATCATTCCCACTCAAGTTTATGTCTCTGCATCATTATCTGGGATATAAGCTGCAGTCTTACAAGTGTCTGCTCCAAACAAAGATAAGGCAGGCTGGGTTTAAAGATGACCAAAGACATTTGCTATTCCTTTCTTCATCCATAAATTCTGGAATGTGAAATCACCATTGTCAGGTCTATGACCTGAAGGCAAGGAATTATTTGAGAAAAATATTCTATGATTCTAAAATCCCATCTGTACTTCTACAGATAAATGCACTCTATACTGTCATGGTTCATCGTGGAATGGAAGTGACGTAAATTCTCATTATTTTATGAGAAATTTTTTTGTTTGTTCATTATTCTGCCAGCCTAGGGAAGGCATATTAAAGCAAGTAGTAATTTGAACTTTTCTTTAAAAACATGTATTTCATTTTAAAATATGGTAAAAGCATAAAACAAATCTAATGCATTTAGCTCACCAAAACTTTTCCAAATGCTACACATTTTGAAAACCTGGGATAACAAAAGCAATTACAAAATAGTTTGGGTTTAGCACTTCTCTTTTTTTTTAAGGATTGTGTCAAGGACGTGGAATCTTTGCTGGTAGACTTTCTTACTCCCAAATTAAATCAATGTATAGGACTCAAGAGCTAAACATTTACTTGATTCAGAAGACCAGTATCACTACTAAAGCAGGGATTTGCACTCTGAAGACAGAATAAACAGCCAAAAGAAACACATCACAAAAATGATAGATCATTTTTCCCTCCCACAAGAAGGAAATGTTCCTTTCAAACACCACTTGCAATTTATTTTTCCAAAGTGCAGAGTTTGCCTCCTATCAGCCATCAGCAATTATTCTTCACTAGTCACCAAACACAGTGCTTAATGCTGACTGTAACTTTATCCCTCCCGGCAATGTCGGCTCCCGAGAATGATTTGAACCATTGCCTCTACAGGAAACTGTTGCTCAGTTCTCACCCAACAGTCAGTTCTAAACTTTAACACACAGGCAAGGTAGAGAAACATAGCAGCTTCATACAGAATACCATCATTTTACAGGAACTGTAAATATAAACATCGTCCTTTATTTACTTTCATGGAGCTACAGCTCTACCTTTTTGAAACCAAAGCAGCAGACTGAGTGGTTCACAAAAGCACAGGTGGTATGAGAGAGTCCACTCCATTCAGAAGTAGGATAATACACCTTCCAGTACATAAAGGGGGCTTACAAGAAGGTTGGAGAGTGGCATTTCACGAGGGCATGTAGTGATGGGACAGGGCAGAATGGCTTTAAGCTAAAAGAATCTCCTCTTAGGAAGAAATTCTTTACTGTGAGGGT